CCCATCTGTGACTAGTAGCAATTTTACAGCCTGTTCAGGATCACTACCAGTAAAATTCACAGTACCACACACACATACACACATACACACATCAACAGCCCATTATGCCTACTGCTGAGCAAAGCCTATGCTCAAACGGAGACGGTTTCAGCATTTATCACCACGCTTGCTCAATGCGGGTTGGCGATTTCAAAATTATAAGTCCAGGTTTCCTCACGATGTTTTCCTTCATCGTTTGTCAGTGGTGACTGAACAATCTTAGACAGCACATATAACTCGAAAACTGTCATTGGTAGTCGCCGTTAGTAGGTTTCGAACCCGGGCCCTCATGCATGAGAAGCGGATGTCTGAAACCTCCGGGCCACTGCGACTTCAATAAAGACAATACCAAAGGCATTTTACTGACGTAAATAACTCAAGTACTGCAAACTACACTGTTATTACTTACTAGCGCACTGTAATCTGTGTGTCATCATAAAAGTAGGAAGATAATCCTAGTCGCATTCATTAATGCGCATAACACGCAATCAGATGCAATTCAAGATCATAGAGTGCGTCATAGCTGTGACGTTTACACGACTAGATGTGAATGTAGGCAGGAACAGAGAAGACACCGTGTCTGTGTAGTGTTCAATTTAATAATATTTAAGATATGAATTTAAGTAGATGTTGTTACCTACACAGCGACACCATCTGCACAACGAACCACCCTGCCTGCCCTCGCCTCACAGCTCCATTATATTCAAAATCAAATAAAGTTTCAACTTTGAAATATTGCTGCAATCTCCCATAAAAAGTGCTCGCTTCGAGTCCCGTCTCGCTTCATTTTACTTTCAGATTTCGCGGAAAACGATCCCTAGTCCACAATATAAAAGGGTTTTGTACTCTTGAAATACGTCACGTTTTGCCAACGGAAATATACAAGTGATTTTGAGACGACTGTAGCGCGACTGGATTGGTGCAGCTTACATATGTTTTATTAAGAACAAATAATTCGTAACCTAATCTATACTAATATTATAAAGAGGAAATATTTGTATTTATTTTTGTATGTTTGTATGTTTGTAATGAATAGGCTCAACAAGTACTAGGCCGATTTAAAAAATTCTTTCATCAATAGAATGCTACATTCTTCCAATTTGACATAGGCTACGTTTCATTTTGAAAAAAATTAGGGATCATTGGTAAAATTTGAACAATGTAACCGAAGATGTAGAAAAATTAGTCTTAAAATGTCTTTCGTCGAATGCGCTGTCGAAACTATTAGCGATAGAACAAAATAATGTACAACAATATTGAAGAACATCATGTCTACAAAAAACTCCGCGGTAGCATATGTCCAACTATTGTAGTTATGTCACTATAACAATCCAAATTTCCAAAAATAAATAATTGTCTACCCCGTTCGAAGCCGGGACGGGTTGCTAGTTCCTTATATACCTACATGTTGTTGAATATTATCTATTGTTTTAGTAATTATCGAAGAACTAGAATTAACAGAAACAAACACGACTAGAGCGATTTACTTACACAATGCTTCGAATAAACCCAAGGTTACACTAGGGGATAAATGTAGATCGCGGGACGATCTCCGGCCACCGTAAGCGCAGGCCTGCGGACGGCGAGCATGGGTGGCTCCCCGTCCGACCAGAAACAGACCCGAGCGTACGGCGCGTCGCGTTCCGCGCGCGCCTCAAAGAGCCATCAGACCACCACGAATGGCGCCCAACAGGACTGATGCCGATTCGGAGTCGCGGAGAACCTAACGGGTTACCAGGACTCCGGCTCGACGTGCAGGAGAAGGAACGGGGTGGTTTTTAGTCAGTAAGAGTCTGACACTCCCTCCCGCCTCACCCAGGCGGGAGCAGTCATTCGATGATTTTCCCCCCTTAAAAAAAAAA